TTATTCTCATATCAAATATTTCACCCCCGCGACCAACGAATGCCTCTTCCGGGGCAGATATTTTCCAGCAGTTACCGTTTGTTCAAAATCAAGAGCAACTCTGGCAACCGGGTTTGACTTATTCTTACTCCGACCATCATCGGCAAGGTCGTTGTTCCGTTCAACAGATGCTTCGCTGCACTGCCAAACAGATGCAGTGGGACTGTCACGGGGGCCGGATGACGGACACGCGATGCGCACGCCCAAAGCGGAGGTTCGACGTCTCGTGCTGAGAGCGTTGAACGCGTGCAGCGATCGCGCGTGGGATGTTGATGGATTATATCGAGGCTCGCGCATATTATTTTTGTTGCAGGACAAATCGCTGTACAAACAGGGCGCCTTCCCCCCCCCCCCCCCCCCCCCCCCCCCCCCCCCCCCCCCCGTCGGAATATGAACGCAACGTCCATGCGCTTTCCCCTGAAAAGCATTAACGAAAGACGAATTGGGGTGCGTCGATGCGGGTGGACGTGTCTTAGTAGAAACAGATTGCGTTTTTTTGTTGTGCGTGTGTGTGTGTGTGTGCGGCGCGCAGGGGTTTTAGCGCGCTACGCTACGAACCCGGCGACCCGAGTTCGATTCCCGCTAACGGCCAACGCAAGTGACGAATGATCTGAACGAGTTGTGGGCCTCTCTTCTCGGTCGACTCGGTATCAAATGTTTGCGGTGTGAAAAAAAACATCGCCAACTGGGGAGACAAAGGCCGGCGTGGTGCAAGTCAAATCGCTGCACAGTCACTGTTTGAGAGCTTCACCGGGCTCTCCGCGCACTCTGCTCCGGGGACTGTTAATGCCCTCGGTGAGATTGTGCGGCTAATTCTCGGTCAGAGGGTCTATCCCGGTGAGTGTAGACTCTTTTTCATGATTTCTCACATCTGTGAAATGCGCCTGCCTGTAAGTTAATTCGTCTGTCCACGTATTATTAGTTTAACGCCATCATTTACGAGTTCATGCTTCTGTCAATGCCCGTGTCTGTACGTTCATGCGCGTCGATGCGCCTTGTCTAAAAGTGTACGTACGCCCTTGTCAACGAGTTCATGTGCGTGGCAGGGTACCTATCTGTGGGTTAATGCGCCTATCTGTGATTTAAAACATCTGCCTGAGTCCGCGTCCATATTTGTGCGTCTACGTGTTTGTTTAAGTTCACGTGTCTGTAAATGCGACGAAAAACAAGGCCATGCGTCCGTCCATCTGTCTATTGATCTATCCATGAGTCCATGAGTCTATCTATGGGCTCATATGCCTATCTTTAAATCCGTACTTTAATCCATGAGTGTCAGAGGTAACTTCACACCGACGATGAATGTGACGGAGGCTCGACAATAAACGTGCGCATCAACTCAATCAACCACTCGTGCAATTACCGACTCCCAAAATCACGCCTCTTAGCCCTGCAATATACACATATACTGCAGTGCGTATATCGAATGGATATGTATCAATTCCACCATGTTAACACGCTACAATCCTGCGTACACATGCATCACACATATTTATAGGAACGATCAATTGTTGTACTGTCCTTCTATGCTCACTCGTCTAAGCTCCCCACTTTCACACACCCGCACTGACCATTGTGGTTTAATACGGTAAATAACCACCACGACCCGCACAACGTTAGGAGCAGGGCCATCATCCAGCAGTGGATTAATACCGATCTCTCCTGCATTCAGGAACTGCTGGTGGTTTTTCGAAAATGCGCAGATGCCGCACGTTTTTCGCACACGTTTCTGTAATGTTGCTCTCTGAAATGTATGCTTTTCCCGACCTGCAATATTATTCTGTTATGATGATTGTGGTTTCTCGTCATTTACAAGATTTATACGACGCCGTCCCATTGCCTACTCACGACCACTTCGAGGAAGGCGTCTATCAATGTACGAGCTCTTGGTAGAGTTTAAAGTGCCGTGTGGAACGTCTGTATAACGGTCCTGGCTGGACTTTGAACAACGCGAGCAAACAAGACGCGCGACTTCACGTTGGTGGCCAAAGCCATAACTTAGCCGAGCCATCTGCATCTGCTTTCTGACTGCCCACGGAGTTGCAGACAGTGAATCATCATGGCCAAACAGACGCTGCACTTCTTCTTTTTCGGTGAAGTGCAGGGAAACGCCGGGAACCAATTCAGCGAACATCTCTCTCATTCTCTCTCTCTCTTGATTTGAAGCTTTCGTGACTGCAGGAATCCATACTCTTTGGTTCTTTCGGGTAAAGTCACGTAGGTAGACTTTACCCGAAAGAACCAAAGAGTATCTCTCTCTCTCTTCCATAAGCGACGTAGAGAGCTGTACTATTGAATGTTTAAGGCAAGTAAAAAAAAGCTGCGCATGGACAAGACGCGTGCGTAGACGTGATGACGATGGTCGGTGGTCGAGACGAATGACGGAGCGGCGGCCCAAGGACGGGGAACAAAACGGTAAGACGGACCGATGAGATAAAGCGCACGTGCAGGAGAGATGCGACGCCTTGGGGAGGCCCACATCGAGCGGTGGATCGATCGTGGCTGATGGCGATCAAGATGGCCGTAGGAAATGAGAACTATTCCTTCTTTTTCTCGAAACGCCGTTACAGAAGTCGTAATTGTAACACAGCTCCGTGTTGCACTGCACGCTACGCGCGTGTCGTACATTGCCCGTCGTGTGCGCGTGGGATATCATTCACCGACGTGGATCGGGCTGCGGCGTTCACTCGACAGTAAATACGTAACATTCTTCCGCTGCGCGTGATGGTCTAAATCAAATCCACAACACGCATTGCTCCCGTCAAGCGTAAAACTTGATTATAAACACTGCCAACGAGGTTTAATCAGAACGACACTCAACCGTACAGCTGGCATTACGACAGCTATGAACAACTACAATAACAGAACAATACACAATTGTAATCATTTGTCACTCCACTGTTGAATTAATGTCTGGTAGGGGAAGGGTTGCGTTAGGTTGTTGTCAGTGCAGGTCGGTGATGACCAGGGCCCTGGACCAGTTCAGATATCACTCGCCACTGACGGTAGCCGTGGCCGGGAATCGAACTCAGCTCATCGGGTTGGTAGCACAGGGCGCGAGTCGAGTACCTAGAACATCATCCACCCCTGCCAGGCTTGCGAAACATTTCCGCGAAAATGCAGTTGGTATAAACTAACCGGCTAATTTAACTCTTAACGTCAAGTTTATTTTTAGTTTCACGGTCACTGAGAGTAAAGGACGATCTCGACGTTTCAGCCGACCAGCCTTCTTTATGAAACATTGACGTTTACGGAGAGTCCCCGCAGAGAGAGTTTGTTGGTCGGTGAAGTTTGATGTCGGATGATGCCCGGTTCAATGAAGCGGCGATGCATTTGAAACGTTCAAACACCCTGGGGCACATTCTACACACAGGCGTATTAAATGCATGGACGGTGTGCGCTTAGAAGGGCGACTCAGATGGCTGGGACACGTCTTAAGAACAGAGGAAATCCACATTGGAAGAAGGAAGGTGGTGAAACATTGAAGCAGCAGGGATGGATCATGCGAACTACAGTCATCCGGTCATCCTCGCAGCAGCCTTTAGCAAGCCATCGCACAAAGACGGTCACTGCATTGCGCGCTTTCAGATGCGCTTATGCATCCGTTTGGAAAGTTCTTCCTTCCGATATTAGGAAGCCACTGGAGCTAGGAAATGTAAAATCTAGATTTAAACGTCATTTCTTTAGAACTGCTTTTTGTGCTTTGGTTGTTGTCCTTCGCCCGTGCCTCCTATTTGCACGGTTGGCTATGTACGGTGCTAAATAAGTTCAATATACATGCATATATCGGAAGAAGGAAGATGGTGAACATTGAAGCAACAGGATGGAGACTCAGAGGCAAGGTCTAAAAAAATGTGGTTTAAAGTGGTGAGACCAATGATGTGATGGACTGTGGTGGAGTGGACATGGACATTCTAATTTTCTATTCTTGCATCTGGCAATTTGATGGCCCAGGACAGGAATGAGTGGAGAGAGAGAGAGATGGGGCCAGGAAGGCAGACGCCTCACACACGAGTGAGAAACGAGCCGGGCAGAAAATACTGTTAAAGAAATTATGTTTACTTTTTAAAATGTATGATCCACCGTATGTAAACACGCGCATGCTCCCCGTGTTATACAGAGGTAATGTGCGCGCTGATTATCAACGTGCGCGATTTTCCATATTGATAATATAATCGATATTTTAAGTCAATTATTTGGACATAAGATATTAATGTATGACCGGGTGAAAGCTCATTGAGGAGATCGCAAGTATTTTTTAAAGTGAAATTTGAGTTTAAATAAGCGCAGCGAAAACAAAACTCTTAAAGAGTAAATGTAACTACCCAGGCATGTATTCCTTTGTAAAACTAAAATTAATGTGAAGTCAAAATTATAAAAAAAATTATACTTTTGTTTTACAAATGAACAATAATTCCCTTTATTTATACAGGAAAGTCTTAATGAGTCTGTATACTCTTTTAGAAGGGGCTAGCATCGGGATGTTTGGCAAATCCCATTTGACCTCAAGTTGTAGAAGGGCCGAAATGCTCCGCACAGATCTACGCAAGAATGCGCTTCTGCAATCTCCTGGCAACCTATGGATGGATGGGTTCTACCCCCCGTGTTCAGGAACATCAACAACTGAAAAAGCTCACAGCACGTGGGACGAAAAATGTACGCCCTTGTCGATGAGTTCATGTGCATGGGCAAGGTACCTATCTGTGAGTTCATGCGTCTGTCTGTGAATTAAAACATCTGCCCCTGAGTTCGCGTCCATATTTGTACATTTACGTGTTTGTTCCATGTCCACGCGTCTGCAAATCCGACTAAATACGAGGCCATGCGTCGGAACATAACGCCGAACAAACACGCGTGAGTTAGCACGGCCAGAAAACCCACAACACGCCGGAGAGCTGTGAGAGAGGAGCACGAACACCGCGGACAGACGGCAGCGGTGTCCACAAACCCCGCGCGGTGCTCACCCTGCCCTCTGCTCGACGTCTCCAGACAGGGGTTGAGGTGGTATCCCCCTCCCGGATACAGCCTGGCTTGACTCGACGGGGCCATAGCCATGGAGGACAGCGACTGAGCCGCTGCCACCATGGGGCCTGGATGCTGCGGCTGATTGCAGGACTGCGGTGGCGGCGGCGGTGGTGGTAGTGGCGGTGGCGGCGGTGGCGGAGGTGGCGGAGGAGGAGGAGGAGGCGCCGGTGCCGGCGGTGCCGACTGCGATGCCGCGGGGACTTGTGACCCGACCGACGCAGGAAGCTGCCCCGAGGATCCGTTCCCGAACTGCCCGTAGCGGCAGGCGCTGGTGCCCGTGAGCTGCCCCGTGAAGTGCACCGTGAAGGCGCTGAAGCAGTCCTCGTGCTGCTCCTGCGCGGACGCAGCGGCCGCCGCTGCAGCCGCGGCCGCCGCTGCAGCCGCCGCCGAGGGAGGCCACCCGGGCGGCTCCTGCTTGATGAAGGCCGGCGCGTGGGCCCCTCCGTGAAGGCCCGCGGCCGGGTTGTAGGCGCTCGGGTGCGCGAAGTCGATCCAGGGCGAGGCGGCGGGCATGCCGGGCGACAGGAAGGTGTTCATGTCGAGCACGTCCGAGCTCATGGCAGCGCCGAGGTCTGCGTGAGCCGCGCCACCACCACCGCCGCACGTTTTGTTGTCCTGGAGGAAGCGGGTCCACATGCGTGAAGAGCGCTTGTCCCCTTCCTCCTTCACCTCCTCCTGCTGCCTCTATCCTCCCTGCCTCCTCCTCCTCTCTCGTTCTCCTCGCTCGTCTCTCTCTCTCTGTCTCTCAAGGTTCTTCTTTACACAGCTGAGCCGAGTTGGTCGATGCACAGCAACCCGAAACAGCGCGCGCACGTGCGCGTGCGTGTCTCGGTGCGTCCTTGGTATTTGTGTGCGTCTGCGTGTATGGAGATCCCTTTTGGTTTTCTGTGTGTCCGTGAGTTGGATCGCTGCGTTGCCGATGTATCAGAAAGTGTGCAAGTGTTCTCTTCGCTTGCGTAACGCGGAGTTTTAGAGCGCACGAGGAGTCAGCGGCGACTCCACGTTCGCGCCTCGGTGGCTGTACAAACGAGCGGTATACAACTCGTGTGTAACGTACGACGAGAACAAAAAGTAACGGGACTTAAAAGGTTGCTGCTATCGGGCTTTGTAAGACGCGTTTGTAGGAACGACGGCTACATGGATGGAAGCAACAGGCTGACGGCGCTCTGACGATGGCTGTGGTGAAAGCAGAGCGAGGTTATTCAGACGCGAGCGGTCTGCGTGTGACGCTGGAGAGACTTTCGCGTGTGCCGCTCAACTGCCCACACGGCGGGGCCCTTAAAGAGGCGAGGCGTGCGGAGAGGGGAGCGGGAGGGAGGTGAGTACGCGCGTGTGTGTGTCTGTGTGTATGAATGTGTGTGTGTGTGTGGCGGGGGGGAGCGGTGGTGGAGCGGTTACTAACCTGGCCAACCGGGTTCGATTCCCGCTCTAGGGCTCAATATTAGTGATGATTATTTGAACCGGTCTTGGGCCTCCCCTAGATCGACTCAGCCTCAAATTAGTGCCTGGTGTGTAAAACATTGCCACTAGGCAGACCAAAGCGGCTGGGCGTGGTGCTGGCCATCCACCGTGTGCCTTTTTGTGTGCCGTTTTGGCCTTCATAGGTGCTCGCTAACAGCACTTGCCCCAACAGCATGTTAAGTCCATACGGGGGATCTTTGTCTTTGTGTATGGGGAGCGGTAGCGCAACGGTTAGCGCGCTGCGCTACAAACCCGGCGACCCGAGTTCAATTCCCGCTCACGGCCAACACCAGTGATGATTACCTGAATCGGCGCTGGGCCCTCCCCTAGGTTGACTCAGCCTCAAATTAGTATCTGGTGCGGTGTGTAAACATCGCCACTTGGGGAGACAAAGGCGGACGGGCGTGGTGCTGGCGACCCACCCCCTCGTGTGCCGTATCGGCCGTAATAGGTTATTTAATGTCCTTAAATAGGCACATTTAATAGGTGCTCGCTAACAGCACTTGTCCCAACAGTTTGGTAAGACTACGCGGGTAACTTTGTCTTTGTGTGCGTGAGTGTGTGTGACGCCACGCTTACTCAGAGCTCTGCTCTCATTCGTCACATCATAAAAACGACAAATGCCTTTACACTCTACGTATGTGTAAGTTTTATATATATAGTATATATCCTGTAGCTAATGACACACACATAGCAACGGCGAGTAACCTGCCTGTGTAAATCAGAGAGAACCATTTAACACACCAGTCCATCTTTAAACAAACTTGGCAGTGCTGAGCCCTAAGGGCGCTTTTGTATATTCCCAGTGATGTACATCATCATTATCATCATCCGCTCTATCCAGATTAAAATAAGTTATAATACGAGCTAGCCACACGGTTCTAATACGTGTTCAACCGCGCTAGGTTGCTTTGATTAAAAAAAGTTGCTCATCTAATTGTAACAAAGTTATGACTCTAATGATATTTTATGTGTGTGTAAAAGTTAACAGTAATAATCATCGCCTATATCGGGTCGGTTACGCGGGTTGTTTGACCATACTTCACCACGCTGGAGCCACGGTGCCAGCCGTGAATCGGGAATCGAACTCAGGTTGTCGGGCTCATAGCGCAGTGCTCGAACAGCTTACCAATCGCCGCCAAACCCTGCGGGGTATATATGATTGGATGATTTTTATTTAAAGAAAATGAGTGTCCATTGCGACTCAATGTACATGTCACAAGGCAGAACCTGGCTCATACAAAGCGCGGCGTAACAGCAGAGATACACTCATTTAAATAATGTATTATTTTATTTAAATTACACTATGTTCTCTATCTCGACGCTATAATTAATCAAAACTTTCTTTAGTAACTGAGCTAGAGTCCATGAACGCAACTTTCTTTTGCAATAGATAATTTAAATGATTAGACTACCGATGAATTCAAAAACATGCTTTTACAATAGAGTCCACGCGCAGTCTGTGATGGGTATGCCACTGGACTTGCTATCGAGTGATCGTCGGATCAATTCGATCTCCCGGCTCGGCAGTTAAAACAACCCTGCACATTTCGTATTTTCCCCACATCTACCCAGCAGTATAAATGGGTACACCACATGTAGTTGATCGGCAGGTTGCGGACGGTGGGGTAAAATGTGGGTACTCCCCACTATTTCAAGATGACTGGGCAGAATGTTAGAGTAGACCAAATACCCTGTAGTCGGGGCTCTTCCGCTAGCAGTGGTGAGTAAGACGCAATTGCAGGGCTGCACCCCTCATCGATTAAAAATAAAATAACAAAGTTAATATATGTTTACAAATGCAAAAAAAAACCGGTCGTGCCGATTTCCTTAGAGTCCACAACGGCAGACGATACAATGTATAATAATATCAGAATCAGAATATGTATTGACACTGGAGGAATCCAATGAGCTCTAAAGGCTCTTTTTCATCATCATGAATCATGGTCGATCACGGGCCTGCGATGCCACTACAATTCATCTCACCGCTCAATCTCACAAGTACACTGACAAAGAGGCCCCATACAGCCTGTAACAGACTGTTCGGGGCAAGTGTTGTTCGTAAGCACCAATGGATGTCGGCACGGCACACGACAACCCACCAGCCTTTGTTCCCGCAGGACTGATCTTGACACATTGCACCAGGCACTCGTTTGAGACTGAGTCGACCTAGGAGAGGTCCAGGACAGGTTCAGATATTCGCCGCTGGTATTGGTGGTGAGCGGGAATCGATCTCGGATCGCCGGGTTCGTAGCGGAGTGCGTTAACCATAAAATACAAAGACCCCCTGTAAGCCTTAACAGACTGTTGGGGCAAGTGCTGTTGGCGAGCACCGATGAAGGCCGGAACGGCACACGCTAAGGTGGGTGGCCAGCACCACGCCCAGGTATTCATTTGAGGCTGAGTCGACCCAAGCAAGGTCCAGGACCGGTTCAGATAATCGTCACTGTTGGCCGTGAGTGGGAACTCGAGTCGCCAGATTCGTAGCGCAGCACGCTAACCGCTACACTACCGCGCCCCATATAAAACACACACACACACATATACAGTACATGCTAACACATGCGCACAAACATAACACTTGAACTGATCTTCATCGCTTCATCTCCGCGGTTGACGTCCTCTCGGTCTCCATGTGGCTGTCATTCCCGTCGTCAGTGTCGTCCATCGCCTATTCTAGCGGTACACGGGGCCACCTTTTTTCTGAACAGTCCACGTGAAATGCCCAATGCGCGTAACGTTCCCCGATTTGTGGGTTCGCCTTCCCGTGTCTCGGTGTGATTCCGATTGTGCGTCTCTTCGCGTGTCGTTTCAACTGTTGTTCCATTGTTTGCGTCAGTGTCCACGATCATTATATATTCGTTTGCAGCGTCCACCGATGACACTCGTCTTCTCCCTGACGTTGCCTATTGTTGTATAATTTCAATCCGCGGATTTCCTTCGGGTTCCTCCTGTTTTGCCCCCCCCCCCCCTCATTTAGAAACAAACACGCGTTTAGATTATTTGACTGCGACTATAAATTCCAACGTATTAAAATAATCCACTTCGACGCGCTCTCGTGTTTAGCCAGGTGACTCTGAAAAGGGTTAAATAGCTCAGTGGGCATTTGCGTGGTAAAACAAAAATCAAGTGTATAGTTTAAAAAAAAATCAAATCGGTCTATACAGTAACAACACAAATGCGTGCACATGTAGCTGATGCGTGTGGTTGTAGCATCAGCTTCGTCCCGCGGGTGAACACACGTGAGATGATAAATGAGAGTTCACGCCGAGTTCAGAGCGCGGTGGCCGACGTGGTCCCAAAAAGTGTAATTATAAGGGCCTGCTCTTATCGCGAGCTGTGCACCCATGCGTGCAGACCGTGCGTCTGGCTAAGCCTCGCCGACGAGCCCTAAACAAGGGGGCCATTGGCCCTCCGTGTCTCCTATGTTTCGGACTGTGTCATGCATTTCATCGGAACCCTCACCGGTCAATGGTCTGCGTTGAAAGCGAAATCAGAACATCGCACGGCAGATGAAACAACGGTATCACCAATCTCAAACGACAAAACCACGTAGTATAGTACCGCACGTGAGTCTATGGGTGTCTATGTTTGTATATGGATCTCTATGTGAGTCAAATAATCTCTGGGTATGCATATGGGTCTCTGTG